CCCTTGCTCCTGAAGGCGTGAGACCAGTGCAGTATCTTAGATAGCTGCTCACAGGCTTTTAAGACCCCAGACACCACTCACCAAGGTAGAATGTAGAACATTGTCTTTATAAACTGTGTTATGCCAATTGAGCTAGATGTTCCCCGAGACCATGGTCCCCACAGCCCTCTGCCCGGCAATTCAGTCCCTCAGGGTGTTAGGAAGTGTCTATGGAGCTTCCATGACCTTTCCTTGTACAAGTTGTGCTGGCTTCCCCAGTAATGTGTACTGTCCTACCCTTCACCAAAGTTACCACCTATCTATTTAGCTCCCTCCCCATCCCTCCCATCCCTGGTAACCAACAAACATTGTTTCTTTTTGTGTGTAAACTTTTACATGAGTTATACAGTAGAGGTCTCATACAATATTTGTCCTTTTGTAATTGACTTATTTCACTCAGCATAATGTCCTCCAGTTTCATCCATGTTATGCTTCACAGATTCATCATTGTATGTACCATGGAGTATGTACCATAGTTTGTTTATCCATTCATCTGTTGATGGACATCTAGGTTGTTTCCAACTTTTTGCTTTTGTGAACAGTGCTGCAATGAATATGGGTGTGCATATGTCTATTAGTGTGACGGCTCTTATTTCTCTAGGATGTATTCTTAGGAGTGGGATTGCATTTTGTCATGCTTATTTTTGTGGTGCTGACATTTTCTTTGTTCCTGTTACTCTCCTGTGCTGGGTTCCTTTTGTTTGTGGATGTTTTTTTCATTTCTTCTGTTTTTGTAGGTTTTGTTTTTACTGAGACTTTATGTTTTCTTCTTTATTTTGATGAGTAGGTTTGTTAACTTTCTTTGTGGTTACCTTGAAATTTACCCGTAACTTCATGGATTTGTACCAGTTTATTATTACCTGGTATTGCTTGACTTTCTCACCATTAGAAGGTTCTATACCTACACTGTTTATTCCTTTTATTGTTCTGATGCTGTTATCATTTGCAGATTAACCTCTCTGGTTCCCTTTTGTGGTTCTTTTGGTTTTGCATAGTCCTTAAGAGTTCATTTCCTAGGTTGGTATCTGGCTAGTACAATCCTGTGTCCTATATTCAGCCTGTGGTCTGATATTGTTTGTTCTCAGATTGAAGGACTTCCTTTAATAAGTCTTGTAAGTTTGGTTTGGTTTTTACATAGTCCCTTAATTTCTGTTTATCTGGAAATGACCTCATTTCACCATCATATTTGAACGAGAGTTTTGAAGGATATATTATTCTTGTCTGGCAATTTTTTTCTTTCAAGGTTTTATATATGTCATCTCATTGCCTTCTTGCCTGCATGGTTTCTGCTGAATAATCCAAGCTTAGTCTTATTGTTTCTCCTCTGTATATGACTTTTTTTCTCAAGCTGCTCTCAGGGTTATTTGTCTTTGGTTTTAGTGAGTGTGATTGTAATATGCCTTGGTGATTTTCTTTTGGGGTCTATCCTATATGGTGTTTGTTGAGCTTCTTGGATGGTCAGCTTTTCATCTTTCATGATATTGGGGAAGTTTTCTGTCAGCAATTCTTCAATGATCCTCTCTCTTTTCTGTTTTCTTTCCCTGTTCTGGAACTCTGATCACACGCAGATTTTTGCTTTTGATTGTATCCCACCTAATTCTCATGGTTACTTCATTTTTATTCATTTTTTTTTCTGATTTTTCCTCTAACAGAATTGTATCCAAGTGTTTGTCTTCAATTTCGCTGATCCTATCTTCCATCATTTCAAACCTGCTCCTCAGCCCTTCTATGACACTGTCCATTTCTGAAATCTTGTTGTTTTTGTATGATTTCTATTTGTGAATTTATTTTAGCATTTTGTTCATGTATTATTTTCTTGAATTCTCCCATTTTTTGTCTGTATTTTTCACGGATTTGTCTATTTTTTCCTCATTTTTTGCTTCAACTCTTGGATAATTCTGAATATTAGAGATTTGAGTTCCCTATCAAGTCTAGTGCCTTTTCTTCTACTGGAAGGTCATCTGTTGTTTTATTTTGGGCGCCTACTGGAACCATCCTGTCTTGTTTTGGTAAATGTTTTGATATTGTCTGCTGTCTTCGGGGCACTCAGTGGTTATTTTCCTCGTTTATTGATTGTAGATTTGTTTGTTTCATCCTGCTTTTTTGTTTTATTTGATTACGTTTGCACAGGCGGGCTGTGTGTTCTTTGTTGTTTGCTCGTTTGTGGGCGCGATACTTTTCACCTCCTTCTCCGCTGGGCAGGGTCAGTCACTCAGGTATGGTACAGCAGGGCAGGTCCAGCTGAAGGGGAATTGCTGGGATAGGTTTTCTGTGGCACGTACCAGGGCTTACACTGCGGACTGGGAATCAGGGCAGGGCAGGTTCCAGCAGGCCGTGCCTGTGTTGCTCGGGAGTGTGATGCTCAGCACACGGTGCAGTTAGGCAGGAAGGAGGGGGTCGATTGTGATATGTGGAGCTAAGGTGGGTATAGGAAAGATGAGAGAGGAATAGGAGCCAAAGACATACACACAAACCAAAAAGATTGCTAAGGGAGTTTGCTATTGGAGTGGAGAGACGAGAGACTAATAAATGGGGAAAAACAAAAATAAAAAAAAAGAAAAAGGGTAAAAGAAAAAAATGAATAAATTGAGAAACTAGAAATGAAGAAAGACAGAAAGGGAATAAGAGAGAGAAGAATACTAAACAACGAAATGAAAGAAAAAAAACTTAAAAAAAAACAAGAAAAAAGAAATGCCCCCAGGGCTGTCCCTGTGCCTCTGCACAGAGTAAGGGACTCGCTTCTAACCCACGTGGTACTGCCTGGCTAGAAGGGGCTCCCAAGCCGTGAAAAGAAAAAGAAAACAAACAAATCAAAACAGAACAAATCAGAGCAAACAAACAAACAAGCAAGCCCAGGGGTCCCACCAGCATAGTGGCATGGGCCGGGAAGCGGTTTCACAGTCAAGCAGTGTTTCGCAGCCTTTCAGGAAGAAGCCAAGATGGCGCACGGAGCCAGGTATTTGAGAGAAAGGAGGGGGAGGTGGTGAGAGGTAAGGAAGAAATTTAAAGAAGCAGAAAAAAGCAACACCAGCAGCCAACAAATGGCACTCAGGGAGCTGGCCAGTGCAGGCGGATGGAATCCAAGCAGCACTCGGAGGGAAGCTCATGCTTCCAGGCCAGTAGACTGTGGCTGCAGGAAGCAGAGGAGGCTAAATGGGGGTGAAGAAGGGTGGGGGGTAGGAGAGCCTATATTGTGGGTTACCAGTTGTTCTGTCTCCTGCTGGAAGCTCCATGAAGCTGCTTTCTCATACCTCCTGTTCGCTGATCTCTGCTAGGAGTCCAAGATGGTGGATCCGTGCTGTGGTAGCTGATAGGGGACCTCTGCATGTATCTCTCCTCGCACTCTGTTCTCTGTCAGTTTCTTATTCCATTTGGTGCTTGGCTGAGTTCTTTATCTCTTCATTTGATGGTTAGGGTTTCAGGATTGATGTGTGACTCTGTTTTACTTAGTTTTTCTGATCTTTGCTGTGGAGGGACGATGTGGTGCTTCTGACTATAGCGCCATGTTGCCCAGAAGTAACTCAGTTATTTCTTACACTCAAAACGATGCTTCAGTCAAAATGTAATCAGCCCTGTCTGAAGATGTAGCTACAAGGGAAGGAATTGTTATCAACAAATAGTAAGAAATCCTAAAGTCTTGAGGATGGTGTTTCATTTTTGGGAGAGAGCATTTCTGCCATTCTTCAGGTCTTAAATACTATTTTGGGTTTCCCACCAAATATTTCAGATGGTGAAAGATCTGGGAATTTTTCTCTGCAAATAATCTACTCCAATAAATTGTTTTTTTCATAGGCAAGATGAAACGTAGTAAAAAAAAAAAAAAAAGATACAGGAGACAGATAACCTGCCAATCCTAGGCAATTACAGAATCCCAATTTCATTTTCAAGAGGTGTAAAAAGCCCTCATAGATAGAAAAACAAAACAAAACGAATACAGCGTCTCTTTAAGACCAGGAGCAATGTAGTACTGTGATTGATCCTTAGCTCAGAGCACACAGTAGGTGTTTAATAAATATTTGGAGATTGATCAATCTTCCATTCAGGAAATATATGTCCCTTTTCCTATGCCGGGCTCTGGACTAGGTCCTGTGGAGGACGAGAACAATTTAATGCCTACGGAAGGATTCAGATCCAACTTGCTGTAATGCAATAAAGCTTTAATGAATAAAGGCTTTAGCAAACAGGCAACTAAAGAGCAGAGCAGCGGCGATGCAAATAAGGTTTAGTTCACATTTCGCCTGAGCTCATTCCATTTTGGCGCCTGCAGTCTCTGAGCAATCGCCACTCATAGAGGGCGCAGAAGAGGCGAGGCCAGAGAACCGAAGGGCAGTAGGTTTTGGGGAGACGTAAGGAAATAGTGAAAAACGGGGGAGGGGAGTAAGGGGCCCTGGGCTCAAGACTGGTCCGTCCTAGGTTTGAAAAGGGAGGACCAAACGTCTTTAGTCACTTTTCTCCTCCTCCTTTCAGACGAGATATTGGCCGGGGCCAGGGGAGACGGCGGGAGTTGTCACATCACTGAGATAGAAGACTGCCCGGCCTCCAACCCACCACATAGGAAACCTAGGAATCAACGTCTACCGCCTTCTAAAAAACGACCCCTCCCGCTCGCTGGGAAAGGACACCCATGTGACCCGGCGAGGGGGAACGCGGCGATTCCGGAGAAGCGCGGCGGGGGCGGACACTGGCTTCGAGCCTGGCTGGGCGGGAGGGCGCGCGGGCGGCGGAGTCCTGGGCGGGGCCGGAGCTAGAGTCGCCCCCACCCGCTCGGCGCCCCTCCCGCAGCGGGGC